GTTGATTTGATACCCTCCATGGATTAGCTCTAACTCCCCTAGTTCCACCTGCTTTTCTGCAGTTATGGAAGACAACATAGGGCAAGAGAATGATGGGAGTGATGGAGAGGAGAGGTCCTTTACTTCCAAAACTGTCTTTCAATGTATGCCAGCCAGGTAGATGCCAGTTATTGTCTGAAGGAAAATAAAAGCTGATGAATTAAAATAGCTTTTATAGTTATCTGGTCAAGCATATAGTGAGGCCTTGACTTACGAGTTAAATTCGTTCTGTGACGGAGCTCGTAACTCAAATTACTCGTACGTCAAATCAAAAAGTGAACAAGTAAGACACGTGATGCGCGTTCACTGTGACGTTTGCTGCGCCAACTAGCGGTGGGTATCTGAAGCTGGCTCGTAACCCGAATTTTAGCTCGCAACTTAAAGCAAAAAAATCGGCTGAGAGACGGCTCATATCTCGAAAAACTCGTTAGTCGGGATACTCGTAAGTCAAGGCCCCACTGTATATGACTTGTCGGCGGCTGACCTTGGCCTGGTGCTCATGTCTGTCAGGGCCTGGTCCTGCGCTGTCTCCCATGTGGGTCCCCAAGCTTTGTGGAAGAGAGGAGGGTCAGCACCCGCTGACAAACACCCAGGCATCCAGGCAGTGCTCAGGGAAGTTCAGCCTTCGCTTCCTGCCAGAGCGCTGTAGGATGCGAGCAAGGCCGGGCCGCTCCCGTGCTGCCTGGAGAGGTCCCCAGGAGGGGCTGTGGTCTCCAGGTGGACTGACCTGGCCCATTCCTGTGAGCAGGCAGGAAGATAGTGGCTGGGCCCTTGCTGTTCCCTGGAGAGCTGGGCTCAGGATGGGCTGTGCCATGGTGACCAGGAGCATAAATAAGGGACCAGCCGGGGAAGGAGGGTGGGGAGACATAAACCGCGCTCAGAGGTCCTAGTGGAGGTGGAGCTGGTTGGCTGGATCGTCCTGTAGATCAGTGGTTCTCAACCTTCTGGCCCTTTAAATACAGTTCCTCATGTTGTGACCCAACATAAAATTATTTTCGTTGCTACTTCATAACTGTAATGTTGCTGCTGTTATGAATCGTAATGTAAATATCTGATATACAGGATGGTCTTAGGTGACCCCTGTGTAAGGGTCGTTCGACCGCCGAAGGGGTCGCGACCCACAGGTTAGGAACCACTGCTCTAGATTAAGTGAGGCACTTAGAACAGCGCCTGACACACAGTAGGTGCTTTATACATGTCAGCTGCTCTTCTTCTAAGCCTTTCCCACCTTTGACTTTCAGAAGCTCACCCACTGCCAAGGAGGGGCAGCCTGTGAAGGCCATGGCGGCAGAGAGGCCCACTTCCTGAGCCAGGAGGGGTGAGGCCCCCGCAGGCCCAAAGATGGGGAACATCACTGCGGACACCTCCCGCCCGAACTGTACCATCGACCACACCATCCACCAGACGCTGGCCCCCGTGGTCTATGTCACCGTGCTGGTGGTGGGCTTCCCGGCCAACTGCCTGTCCCTCTACTTCGGCTACCTGCAGATCAAGGCGCGGAACGAGCTGGGTGTGTACCTGTTCAACCTGACCGTGGCCGACCTCTTCTACATCTGCTCGCTGCCCTTCTGGCTGCAGTACGTGCTGCAGCACGACAACTGGTCGTACGACGACCTGTCCTGCCAGGTGTGCGGCATCCTCCTCTACGAGAACATCTACATCAGCGTGGGCTTCCTCTGCTGCATCTCCATCGACCGCTACCTGGCCGTGGCCCATCCCTTCCGCTTCCACCAGTTCCGCACCCTGAAGGCAGCCGTGGGCGTCAGCGTGGTCATCTGGGCCAAGGAGCTGCTGGCCAGCGTGTACTTCCTCCTGCACACGGAGGTGGTGGAGGACGCGGACCAGCACCGCGTCTGCTTCGAGCACTACCCGCTGGAGCCCTGGCAGCGCCACATCAACTACTACCGCTTCCTGGTGGGCTTCCTCTTCCCGCTCTGCCTGCTGCTGGCCGCCTACCGGGGCATCCTGCGGGCCGTGCGCCGCAGCCACGGCACCCAGCAGAGCCGCAAGGACCAGATCCAGCGGCTGGTGCTCAGCACCGTGGTCATCTTCCTGGCCTGCTTCCTGCCCTACCACGTGCTGCTGCTCGTGCGCAGCCTCTGGGAGTCCAGCTGCCAGTTCGCCCAGAGCGCCTTCAACGCCTACCACTTCTCCCTGCTGCTCACCACCTTCAACTGCGTGGCCGACCCCGTGCTGTACTGCTTCGTCAGCGAGACCACCCACCGGGACATGGCCCGCCTGCGCGCCGCCTGCCGCGCCCTCCTCACCTGCGCCAGGACCCGCGGGCCCCGGGAGGCCTACCCGCTGGGCACCCCCGAAGCCTCTGGGGTGAAAAGCGAGGAGCCCGAGTTGTTACGGAAGCTCCAGTCGACCTTCCAGACCCCTAACTCGCCTAAAGGGGAAGGGCTGCCCCCCGCTGGGCTGGCCTAGCCAGAGGCACCCAGGTGTGGGGTGAAGTGAGGTCTGAGCTTGCTGGCCGGCTGCCTGGCGACGCTTTGCCAAGCGCCGGCGCCTCTTTCTGCC